CCCGCCCCCCCCGGCGCCCCCCCCCCCCCCCCCCCCCCCCCCCCCCCCCCCCGCCGCAACGCCAACGCCAACAACAACGCTGCCGAGCTCAGCGCCAGCCCCGGCCCCCACTAGCCGCCCCGGCCCGCCCCGCCGCACGGGGCCTGGCTCTGGGGACGGCCCCCCCTGCCTGGCGCAGGCTAGGCGGTGGGGGCCAGTAGCCCCAGCATGTCCCCAGGGTGGGGAGCCCTGGTTCTGGCCTGGAGATGGGGCGCGGGCTGCCTGCCCCCCAAGTCCCCAGTGCTCAGAGCGGGAAGGCAAGCGCCCCCATATCCAGTATCAGGTTGGGGGGGTTCCTATGAGCTGCCCCCCAGCTGGTGCAGGGGCAGTTCTGCAGCCTCCCTTGCCCCCTCCAGCCGGTATGAGGGGGCCAGCCCCATGGGCACTGCCTGCGGCAGGTACGAAAGGGCAGTTCCTCTGAGCTCCCCGAAGCTGATGTGGGGGGACAGTTCCTGCGAGCTCCCCTCCGCCCCCCTGCAGCCCCCCACGGGGCCGGCACCAGGCTGCGTGCATGCTGCTGTCGCTGCGGGGCCGTGGAGCTGGACCCGCTGCCTCGCACCGTAAAGGGACCCCTGCTCCCCCACAGCCTCTGTGCCCGCTAAGAGCAGGGTGGATGGGACCGTGGCCCCAGGAGCCCACTGCCTGCATCCGTCTGTCCGCCGGGCCATTGCCCTCCTGGCTCCCTGCCGAGCCTGGCATCAGCGTGCCCCTGCCCAGCGCGGCATGGCACAGCTGGCTCGAGGGCAGACGGCGGCTCTGCTTCCCCCGCGCACCTGTGGCCGGCAGCAGGCACCGGGCTCCCAGCCGCCCCCGTGTATAAAATGTACATTGGAAATATTTATATGGACGCACTGTAAATACTGTTTCTTTGCCCTGTGTGTGTGACCTGCAGCCGAGGAGAAACGGCCAATAAAGCACCCTGCCAGCCCTGCCTCGGTCCCGTCCTGTTCCCGCACCCGGTGCCGCCTGCGCTCCCTCGCGCGGGATCCGGCCCCGAGCTGCGAACGGCAGCGCCGCAGGTACGAGCTGTCGGGGTGGCCGTGGCCGTGGCAGAGGCAGCCGTGGCCCCAGGAGATGCAGCAGAGCCTTGGCGGGTGCGTCTCGGTGCCCGAGGGAGGCACCAGAGCCAAGGGGCATGTGGGGCACAAGCCACGTGGGCCGTGCGTCTCAGGAGCAGGTGCCGGGCTTGTCACAGAGCCGAGCAGGGGCCTGAGGCCTGCGAGGGGGCCAGGGCAGGGCCAGGCGGCTGCGGCACATGGCAGCAGGGAGGAGACGGGGACACGGCCCCACAGCGACGTGCTGCAGGAGGAGGGCACTTGCACCCATGGCCCTGGAGCAGGACCACGGACCCCCGTGCCCAGAGGGTGCCTCTGTCTTCAGCTTTGGCGCTGGACCGTGAGCCCCTCGTGCCAGGTGAGCGGCCGAGGCGGGACTCGGAGGCCTGCGCTCCAGAGGCGCTGGTAGCAGCACCCCAGGCTGAGCCGCCGCGGTCCCTCGCGCCTGCACCAGCCCCTTGGTGCAATGGGCTTGGGCACAGCCGGTCCCAACAGCTCCTGGAGCAGGGGGCCACGGGCCCTGCAGCCCCACGCGTCTGGGTGCAGCCAGCACGTGCGGTGTGGGTACCTGCTCCTCCTGGACGGGGCATTTTTGGGGGTGGACGTGCCGGGTGGAGGGGACAGTGCCGGGAGCTGCCCCAGGGCTGGCACCTGCACCCTGTCCAGACCTCCCCGGGCAAGGGGCCGGGGGCTGGGCAGGACCCGTCTCGGCCCCTCCATCCCCTGACCCCGGGATCCGGGAGGGAGCGGCCCCTCCGCGGAGCCGTCGGCGCCCAGCTGCCCCCGCGCATCCCTGCCCCGCGAGTCCTGCCCCCTCCCGGGCCCCCGCCCCGCGCAGGGTTTGGCTAATTTCCTGGCGACTGCATTAGCGGGAATGGAGGCCCAGGGACGCGGCTCCTCTGGGGACCCATTAATCATCCCCCTCAGACAAGCTGCCTTGATTACAAGTGGCAAGAAATTCATTAGGGCTGCGGCTCTGACAACTTTTATCTGCGCGGCTGGATCTGACTCATTAGGCAGCCAAATTAAAGCCATGATGGGCCCTGATGAAATTCACTGCTTGTTTATCTTGTGCGATCTGATACATCTGCCCATACATCATCTCCCCGCGC